ATTATTTTGGAAGATCCAATGTCCATATTCACCAATGACAACTAACAGAGCAAGGAAAAATTGATTTTATTTTTCAACAAAATGTGATTCTATCCTCAATTAAACAAATGATTATTTCTTATCGAAACGCCTCCACTCGCACTTACGAATATTATACGACCGTAGGTAACTTTTTAATTGCCCCGTACATTAGCGAGAATTATATTTCACGTCGTGTTTCCTGTGCTTTGAATTCTCGTTCGTGTTACGCGGCTCTGTATTTCCTCTCGGTTTTTTGCGCTTTTTCGTCCCCGTTCGCGGTTACATACATTCTGAAACAGGACGCGGTGCTTTCTCCTTTAATGTAGAAAAAATGAGAGCCAGAGAAATCCCTGGGCGTAGAGGTCGCGTTTACGAGCGATATTTCGGGGCAAGGGAAAAACCGAGAGTGGAAGAATCGGCAGGCAAATTGAATCGGCTGCCAGTCCGCTTGTCTGCTCCTCTTTGTCCGCCCTCTCGCGTAGAAAATTGTGGCTCCGAGGGTAGCATCTCGTGGGAACGTACCGACCATGATTATTGGTCGGTCGCTTTTGTGTGCGCTTTCTTTGCTCGTGTCCCCGAACGGAGAACTTTAAACAGAAACGCGGCTTAACCTTAGAACGCGTCTCAAAGTTGCCCCTTGCTTCCTCGAGAGTGAAACTCCCTCGCGGGTACCGCGGATTTCGCGCATTTTACACAGGTGTTTACGCCATTCTACTTTCTGGACTGGTCGACATCGATTCGTACACGAATGTCTCCATGCAACGACGTGTAGTTTACCTACGCATACGCAATCGACCCGTAACAAAGTACGATTAATTTTAATCGTCGAAGAATTAGTAACTTTTCAGACTATGTTTCATCGTCTTATTCGACAGCGAAAGGGTTAATTTATAGGCGAGCACCGTGGCAATTTGATGCCGCGGGTAGCAGCATGTTCGCGTGCAAAGTGCATCAGGCTCATGGGTGCGCTGATGCACGCCACTGTCCACAAATCATCGCATCTGTTGCTGCGGTTTTCGGAATACGCGGTCCTCCACGGGTAAACGCAGAGGCCCAGGAGGAGGGGTACTTCAAATTAGATCGCGACGTCAGCCATGTAACAAATTGATGACCGGAAAATCAAATGGGATTTATGGGTTTACGATCGCCATGTCTGGACCCTTGCGCCACGAGAATCTCGAATGCATCCGCCTAACACAGCGTATCCTCGGGTTGCATGGATTTGTAAATGGCCAGCCGCGCTCCCACTTATGGTCTTGTATGTGGTCTGTACGTATAGACGAATGCTTGTTAGACTTTGATTATTTGATTGTTTTTACTTGTACCGTTTGAGAATTTGTCTAAATTGTCTTTGCGTCATTGCATTCATCGCGTTATTTTATAATAAATAGAGTCCTTTTAATGTTCATTTTTGGGTAACTTCGTAGCCTATCTGAAAGAGTATCCTGTAAATAATTTTCAAAGAATAACTATGGCAAAAATACGCAGCTACGAACTTTCTACATGGCCAGTAGATACACACAAAAATATAATAAAATAACTCCATTATTTTAAGGATTTCTTAATTTAACCCATAATTCTTGGAGGTCTGACAGAGACACAATGTTCAAATGTTCTCAAAGCATCGGGAGTTGCTCTGTTTAAAGAAATCAACGAAGAAAATTATTAAATTGATTAGCGTCTACAATTCGAAACGAAACTCTATCCTCTTCAGCCCCGACCAATCAGCTTCGAATAGTTTTTTTTCTTTTAAAGAAATCGCTTAGCAAGTTCTTTCACTGAACGGAACGAAGGTTCCATCTTGCTTCGTCGCAGTAAAAAAAAAAAAGCGGGATTACAATCACGAATGAATGGAGACGGGATTTAATTAAGTGCTCTAAATAAATTAAAAGGAAGAAGCAACATCCATGGACAATGCCCCGTCCCAAGTTGTGCGAGCACGAGAGAAAAAGTTCGCGATAGTTTTTCATCGGTCGCAGTAATAACTTCGTTCATCTTCTCGCGACATAATTCACTGCATTCATGTATAATGTATTAATGCATAGCTTACTAAGAGCGGCAACGGCGCAATAATCGTGGTATATTATTGGCCTGTACTCTTTACTCATTAGCTTACGTTTGAAGATATCGTTGTTGTAAATATGAAATGGTAATTACGTATCGAATAAAAAATTGTTAATACAAGTGCGAATATAACACACAAAAATCCTCTTCAGATCGAATATTAGGCCAATATGGCTTATAGCCAAAGAGTTATACTTTTGCGAATTTTGAAATTTTTCAAATATAATTTGGTGGAAATAGTTTAAAGACTTGGAGCAACAAGAATATATCTTTTGCTTTGTTTGCTTTGATTCTGTTATCGAGTGGGAAAAAATGACCATTCTCGTACCATTTGCCACCATAAATTGTCGAGACGCATCCGCGGCCAAAAACAACGGTGATATTTTAGGGTGTACTGTCACAGACGACTTACTTCATACATTCGTGAGCTCGGAAAAGAAACAGGCAGCTCATCATTCATCAGCAGTCGGTTCGCGACGCGAGAAGGCAAGAACCGCCGATACAATTCGCGGGTAGTTATTATTCGATGCGTTCGAGTAGCGCGTCTTGTGAAATATGATAATCGTTACTCGCGCCACGCCCGGTTTATCATATTTCTTCGGGTGCATTATCATAATGGCATCTCGTGTACGGGATCGGGCGCATTCGGCCCGATGGGAAGCAGTGTTTCCAGCTCACGCGAGATTGATGCTGCCTGTAACCCTCTAACGTAATTCGAGCACACCCTCTTAAGCGCAATCTCTCCACCTGCCATGCGACGCATACGTCAACGGACGACGAATCAGACCAAATGCCCGCCAACGTTATGATTTCAAGTTTTTACAGCGACGTAAAGAGGTTGCTCTTTTATTTTTATAACCTATTATTTTTTTATTTTCTTAACCTTTTCTTTATAAAACTGGAAAGCTATCCCTTATGAAACGTAAATTTTCCTTTTCAGTGACATATGTAACACGTTTCAGAAAATCTATACTCCTCGAACGAACTCCGAAACCCAGCTAAATCTCGTTTGCTGTAATATCCAAATCCTCTTACAACGAAGCACGTTTACATTGCGAGCGCGCAGATTATAATTTGAAACAGGGGACGAAAAAAGGAGGTCGAAAGCAGAGCTTTTTATCCAGCCATTAGAAGATTACCTTTCAGACATTTTAGAACATTCCCTGCCGCGTGACCGGATGAACAATTAATTATCGAACGGTATTAAAATACCAGGAAACTTTGGCCACCCCGTGGATTTCTCGAGGTAAACGATGCCGTTGCGAGACGAGGGATTCGAGGGTGGTTCGAGGGCGCAACACCCTCTTATAATGCGACCCGTGTACGCGAAAACGACGAACACCAGTTTGACAATACAGTTATTAATGGAGAATGCTGGTACACGTTCTCACCTCTTGGCTACCCCTCTGATGGCGTCGGGGGTAGGTCGATACCTTCCAAGCTTTTTGCGTCGAAACTTTTGTTCATTTACAGTGCAACCAGACTGTCGGCCGCCTGCTAGTTCTCGTTATCCACTACACACCGCCACAATTACGAAAAGTTTCGGTAAAACGGTGGGGATGACGGCCCCAGACGGAAAGAAACTCCTTCGGGTTCGGTTTCAGTTTATTTCTCTAGTTTTTTTTTTGTTTGTTTGGTGTGTTTTTTTTTTTTTAGTTTTGAGTTATGGGAGAAGGTTAGAGAAACCGTCAGGTAGGGTCGAGAGATGTAAGATATTATCCCCAGATGGCGAGGGTGTTTGATTAATATCATTTCCTTTTCTCTTCTTTTTGATTTCAGTAATTTCGGTGACTTTTCTTTTTAACGAGTTCTTAGATATTACATGCTATTATTAATAGTTCGAGTTTCCTTTTCACTATGAGTGCGAGTGTTGATTTGTATGGTCAATTTAAAGAGATTCAAATTCAGCAAATAAAAATTAATTTTTCTACGTTTTATATTATATTTTGTTAAATATTACATACAAATTTGTTGATGTGGACCTGAGATCAAGACAAGACGTTGGAAAAATGAAACAATGTAACCATTGATCACAGAAATTCTAAAAATATCCAAAATAAATTAAATTCGTGTTTTTCGTCAATTGTCTGGCGTAGCCAGCCAAAAGTTCTCCCTTTAGAAGCATGAATCGGTTTTCTAAGTTAACTTCAGCTTGTTGGATTGAAATATTACTCGAGAAGACGTGTTAAATTTTCTCGAATGAAGACGGTAAGACGGAACTAAGGTTAACTAAAATATTGAAATTTCCTAATTGCTGGCGGTGGTACGGGTAAATGGGAAGAGGGCCGAGAGGGGAGAGAGAGAAGTGGAGCAATGAAGGAAGCGCGAAAGAAACTTCGTCGGCTGACTTTCGCGAACCGTGTCGGAACAGGGAAAATACACGAGCACCGTGCGAGCGATGAGAACGGGGTTTAGGATTTAATCAACTTTCCTTTTTGTCTCATAAATCTTACACGGGCGGAAGCTCCTCCGCGCGACACGGGTCGAGAATTGTTTTTCGATCTCCTACCTCGCTAGTATTCGTTTATGCGAATCCTTTTATGGGATGTCGATGTATTTCTTTATTTGTTGATATTCATTTCGAGGAATGAAGACTACCCTCAAAATAAGGGATGAAATGTCTATTTGCTTAAACATATCACAAACTACATACAAATGGAGAATAATTTATAAAAGATTTTTCAAAAGGTGCTTTGCCTTTTAATGAAACACAAATGGTGCGGAATGTATTCAATTTGTTTATTTTATATGAAAGTACACATGATTATAATACACATGAGACAGATGATGTCGGTGTAATGTCCTGCATTGAGGAGTGTATGTTATTACCAAAACCAAAGTTCTAGAATCCCTTTTGGAAAACTTTTCACATCATTCTGTAACTGTGATCTAATAATTTTTCTCCGTTGTTTCAGGATTGAAATCGAACCTGGTCGTGGACATCGAACCTAAACGACAGACCGCGGTGCGGCTCGGGGAGAGTCTGCAAATTTTGTGCAGAGTCGGTAGACCACTTCTAGTATGCCGTGTCGAGATACCTGGAGAAGCTGGTGGCATAGTTCTGTCCAAAGGACAGCCACCCGAAGATGGTATCGAGTATTACGGAGAAGGCACCGAGACAGGCCAATGCGGGGTTAATATCGCCAAGATCAAGGAGAGCCATGACGGAATTTTCAAGTGCACTGTAACACCAACCGACAATCGGGCGGAGGCACAGGCTTCTGTGAGGATCATTGTTGCCAGTACGTATCGCTTGAATTGATGTAACCGTCGCTCCCATTGGTCTAGCTTTAGTGATTCTCATTTTAGTGATTCTCTATATTAGTAGTTTTAATATAAAAACATATGAGCGTACTTAAACATCACTTTCTATATCAACACGTTAACTATCGCACTAATTCTCGTGAATATTCCTAAACTAAAATTTTGTTTGGAGACAATTGGAAGTTAATTAATGTAATATGTGCCATTGGACTTGTTTGTATAACTTAATCAAAATTCACGGATTCATGAAAAAGTAATCAATAGTCAACTCGTTGCTATTCATATATTAATCAGAATGTTCAATTTTTCGTTCAGACTTACGTGCTTAAATTTTCTCTCTTTCATAGTAGCCACGTAGAATTTGAACTCATTACTGCGGTTTACACTTGCATTTTATTACGTCCCACAACTTTAGAAACGAAATTTTAAATTCGAACATTCTTCCATGCAGAAAAGTTCCAATGGTCAACTCTAATGAGCTCTACTTTATTAAAAGTCCTATGCTCGCAGGAACGGAAAAAGAAATTATTTCTTTTCGTTGTTTCACCATATTTTCATATTACAGTTTGAACCATTCAGAGTGTCCAGTACCGTGTGGAAAATGTTATGCATTATTTACTTGCCAATTGAATTCGTTATCATTGGAAATAACTATCTTTAGAAACTGGAGCTACGCTTTTATTAGTACTTATAGTTCATTCATTCAATCATATCGTCAATTTTTTAGTAACATTATTGATTCTATCTACTTTAGTCTTCTCAACAACGCCGTGTCCATGAATAATAGTAACATCCTTGATAAAAAATTTCATTTCTTCCATCGAGACGATTAATAATTACGAAGTGGCCTACTTTCCACACCGAATCTAAAATCTGAATACTTCAATATGTTTATACATGCACAATCGATTATTGTATATTCCACGTCAATTGTTTGAAGTTAACAAAAGAATCCCTTAAGCCTCATAAATTTGGTTGCCCGTGGAAAGTGTTTCTCCGCGAGAAGAGAGATATTACAGGAGGCAAAGTAGGAGAAATTCGAGAACTAATCAATCTTCGTTAAGAAAACTACTTACGGGCGGAGAAATAAGAGAGCCCGAAAGGATATTACTGTTTCGGATAAAGTCGATAAAGATAAATGACTGTGGCGTGGAATGATCGAGCGTTGGAGCTGCTTCGAGAAAATTTAAATAAGTATTTGCACAATCGATCCCCAGAGGGAAATTAATGGACTGTTATTTAATGAAGAATTTAATGAAGACAAGCTTCCGTTAAGACGGGATGTTCGTCGTAAATATTTCTTTGTAAATTCAACTGTTGTTTAACCCTGTGTGCCCGGAGCCATATCGTTGCAAAACAAGCAAACTGAAATCGCGTCGTATTAAATAGTGTGACTATGGAACCATGTAATTTATTGTAATGATAGTTTACATAAATTTTTACACAGTAAGAGGCAATTGTGGCAACGACAAGGATCAAAGTTTTATTTTTTTATCATTTTTATAATCATCGAAAATCCCTGTTTTATAGGCTTATTCTATATAATCGTTAACAAAGTTTGCTAGAGCTATGATGTCAAAAGGATTAAAATTCCCACCATCGTTATTTAATTTTCCTGATGACTAATTTTAAACTGTTTCCTTAATCTCGCGATAAATTCATGGGAGTTGAACACGGCGACGAAAGGAATGAAAACCGCCAACTCAATTTACAGAACCCCCGAAGAGTCCAGAACTTCACGCGAGTCCTGGTTCATACGGCAGAAATACCTACAGGAAAGGAGAGAAACTGGAAGTGAGTTGCAGCGCGCCATCCGGACGACCAGCAGCGAACGTTTCCTTATTCCTTGGTAATTACCTCTTTGGGTAACAGACATTTTTTTACATTCAAATTTTAAGCTTGCGTCTTGCTCGTGAGAATAATAATAGGGGTATCCATGAAGTCGTAGTAAACGTGCCTGTGGTTTTATTTTTGAATATATAAACTTTGAAAATGTTTCCTTTTGTAAACTCCGTTTCA